ATTATTTAGGATCTTCTTTCACCTCCCATCCTAGTGCCAAGGGAAAGAGGACAGAGGTGCCTTCCATAGACACCCCTGCTCTCTCCCACCCCCGCCTCACAGATGCAGTAAGAAGCTTCAGGTAGGCAGATTGTTGTTCCTATAGGTTTCATTTTTTCTGTTGCAGGGGACCAGGAGAGAGAGAGACACTTTCCTTTTATTGACCAAAGTCTTTTCGTCATTAGAAATCAAATGACCAAAGTCATTAAAAATCAATGGAGGAAACAGACATATTGACAGAAGTATGTTCCCTTATTGCAAAAACACCCTGAGTTTCCAGCCCCACCAGAACAGAATAGTTATCACCATTTTATTTCATAGAACATTTTACATATGAAAGTGTTTAAAAAGACATTGGTTAAATCAGAGCTCAGTTCCAGACTGCCTCGTTCTTCAATTATCTTGTGGGTCAGATAACATAGCGCTGTTCTGTTACAACACAGTCTATAAAGCAAGCACAGTGTATGGGCTTCAGAGGATGGTGCCTGGGCTTAAATTCTGGCACTGCTGCTAATGCTGTGGGATTTAGGGCAAATCACAATCTTTCCAGGCTTCCATTTTTTCATTTGTAAAATGGAAATAATAGTACTTACCTTTTCAGGTGAGGAGAATTAAATGAGGCAGTGCACACACAGCGCTTGGAATGGTACTTAGCAAGCAGTATATTAGCCCTGTTTACTCCTGAAACCAGTGTTACCAAGAAGTCCCACTGTAACACATGATTGTGTTTAATTCAGCAACTTTCCCAGAGGGCCCTCTGTGGCTGTGGCGTTGTGGTAGGCTCTGGGAGAGAGATGAATGATACGGTCCATCCAGGGGCTCAGTCTAATGCTTCCTCAGTCAGGGAAATAATTCCCGTGTGAGCAGCTGTGTACTAGAGCATCGTATAAGAGCTTGGGGATGTATAAGAGCTTTTTAAACATTTTCATGTGAAGATGTAACTGCTTGGCTTAGTGTTGTGGGCATCACAGGTGGCATAGAAAAGAAGACATTTCACGTCTACCTCAAATGAGAACTTGAAGCTTGCTGGGCAGGTGAGCAAGAATAAGCAAATGTGGAGGTGGAAACTGCATTTTGTAGTCTGGAAACTCTAGTCCAGCATGAATAGGAAGGTGCACCTGTCTGGAAGGCCACTGACTCCCCTGTGGAGGAGATTGTGACATTTGATAGTAGGGGGACCGTTACAGCTTTGTAAGCAGGGTAGGGGTGTGGAAGGAGGATGGTGGCAGTGGCTGCATGGAGGCTAAATTGGTGAGAGAGCCTAGAGGCAGCAAATCTGGCCAGATGGGATTGGGGTGGGATATAGCTGCGGGACTTGGTGACCAGTTGGCTGAGGCAGGAAGAGGAGAAGGAATGAAGGCTTGCCAGGCGCTATTAACGAGAGAAAGCAGGAGGAAGAGCCTTCGGTAATGGCTTTTTGCTACCCTCTTCTACTTAGGGTGATGGGGCAGACCCACCTTGTCAGTGTAAGGCCAGGGGTAGGGTGATGCCCATGGGAGCCTGCTGTGCAGGGAAAGGAAGGGGGTCTGGAAGTGCAATGGGAGTCAACTGAGTCTTTGGTTCCTAGTCTGTTTTGACAGTGAGTTGGGTTACAGGTCACTACCACCACCTCCTCAGAAAACAAACACAAAAGAAAACTCCATGTGGTTAATGGGTCACTTATGCAACACATCTTTGCTGTGTGTCAAACACTGCTGGCCTTGGAGATAGAGCAGTGAGTCAAAATGACCCCAGGAAGCTTATGGTCTAGCAATTAACAGAGAGGAGATGCGAACACAGTGAGACTGCAGACTACTTGGGACCCCCTGTAAGCTACTCCTGCTCAGAAGTGTGAGTTCTTTAAGGTTCAGGTTCAGGTCTTAGCTGCACAACTTACTGACATGTTGACCTTGGGCCAGTTATTTAAGCTGTGCCTGCGTTTCTTCTGTAAATTGGAGACAACAATATGACTGGCCTCATAGGAGTGTTGTGAGGATAAGGGAATTAAGATGTGAGAATGCCCAGCACATGGCACACACTCAATGTATGTTAGCTAGCCTGTGTACTCAGTTAGATCTGTTTAAGTCATATGACTTCTTTCAGATACAGTAAGTTAGGCTTTTTATCATTCTGTGCTGTCGTCCTAGGAAACTGCAGGGCCTCTGTTCCCATCCCCACTATCCTGGGGTGATGAGCCCATTTTTGTATCTAAGCAGACAGGTTGTACTTGCCTGACATGTTGGCAGTGCTGATTCTCTGACCCCCAGCCCTGCCTGCCATCAGTGTTCTTTCTCCTTGTCCTCTCTTCCCCTGCCTTTTTCTTTGAAATATTTTAACTATTTTGTAGTGTACAGTTTAGTAGTGTTAAGAATACTTGTGTAACAGATCTCCAGAACTTTTTCTGCTTGCAAAACCGAACCTCTGCGCCCATTAAACAGTGTTCCTTGACTGCACCGAGGAGCGCGGCCTCCTCTCCTCGCCAGGGGACCTCCTGTCTCCAGCAGCTCCAAGTTAGTGCAGCAGAACCTGAGTGGAGGGTGTATAGTGGATAAGGAGTTTCAAAGGAAACAAGTTTCAGAATAAGAACTTTTATTTCCCTGTTAGAGTTCGTGGACATGCTCTCCTCTATCAGGTCACCAGGTCTTTGACATCATCTGGTCCTTGGGTGGGGGGGCCCCTATAGCATGAGAATAGGAAGAGCCTTTTCCCCAACCTGCTCAATTTGATTCTTTTGATCTCAAGGCCAGATGGCATCAGTGTGAGTTTTAGTCCATTCTTAGCTGTGTCTCAGAAGGTGAAATGTAATGCAGAGGACAGTGGATTGCTGACTGCCTTCTGGAAGTGACCTGTTGTCCTGTGGATGGAAATCTTAAAAGACTTAATGATTGTCCACATTCATGGAATTTACAGTTTATAGTATTCACATATAGTGTTTTAGTAGGTGTTTTTTCCTCACTACAACCCTACGATTTAGGTCCTGTAGGCAGCATTCTCCTTTTTGTAGCTGAGGGGCTAAGTAAGTCATTGGAGGTCACCCAGCTAATAAGTCAGGGCTCAAAGGCAGGAGCTCATTCCCAGGATTCTGACAGAAACCCAGGCTCTCTCTGTTAATGCTGTATTATCAGTTAGATGGGCTAAGGCCTGGGAGGCTCCTCTGGCTTCTGCTTAGAGGGAGGATATGCCCTTCTGGTCCTGCTGCATCACATCCAACCTTACTCAGATGTTGCTTGTATCCAGTGGTTCTTCCTACTGTAAATAGATCAGTAAAGGTTCTTTTGTTTAGTTTTTAAAAAATAAGACAGTGGTCATTGTTATGTGTGGGGAACTGAGTAACATTTGTCCTGATTGGATTACTCTGCCTCAGTGGAGTGGATCTGTCCCTCTGTCTCAGTGGCCACTGGATGGAGAGTGACCAGCCTTCTCACCTGACCCCACCCATACATACAAAGTTGAACTCTCCTTCTTGGCCGCGCTTGCTTTGTGGACTTGAAGTGAGAACATATTTCATTTGGCCAAGTAGTCTCTCATCAGGTCCCTAAACCTGAAGCTTCCAGTGACTTTAAAAGGTAGAGAAAAGAAAAGTGCCATTAAGACTGGGAGCCCTAGTTAGGGAAAAAAAGACTTTTGGACTTGACAGTGACTCTTAATTAACTAGTTGCTGGAATAAATAGAGTCATAAATATTTCTTCCTTGAGGAGTGGGCAGCTATAGGCAAGGGGCAGGAAGTGTGAAATAGTAATACCCAGTTGTAAGGGTGTTAGAAAGAATGTTACTTTGCACTGGAAGGTACATCCAGCGATTGTGGCTCCATCCTCTTATCCTGGGTAGAGTGGGACCCTGAATGGCATACAGCTGTGTTTTTCCTTCTGGGGGTGTATAGGACACAGGAGGTAGAAGGGAGTAGCAGTGTTAAGAGCAGTATTCAGATGGGAATCACTTTGCCATTCTTTATGTGGATCAGGCCCAGTGTTCCAACTCCATGGGAAGTGGGCTTATTTGGGGACAAAGGGGAACTTCAGTCAGGATGACTCCAGGAGGCAAATATGTGCTCACCTTGCTTGAATGCTGTACAGGAGGCACCTCTGTTGTATGTGCCCAGGAACTACAGTTTTAGTTCGTTTCCCAAGTGCATTTGAGCAAATGGACTTTTTGTTGCCAATTAACAACTGCATCTACAGCATCCTTTGTGATTATTTTTGGTCGCATGGTGCCCACCTCACATGAACTTCTTGTAGTCACCCTCCACACCTTCTCCAGGACACAAAGCATTCGTCAAGTGAGAGTGTCCACAGAGGGTTAGTCCCTTTTTTGGACCTTCCTCACATAGGCACTTGGAGTTAAGTCTCCATGTGCAGTATGTTTGGTCCATGTTGTTTGTGGGTTTTGTTTTTTTTTTTTGCAGAAACCGATTGAGTAGGAACGCTTTGATTTGGGTCAGAGTGAATGTGATGCAGTAGAACAAGCAGCGTGTAGGAGCGGGGTGTCCTGAGTTGTAGAGATGGCTCTGCCTTTCCCCTTCTCGGGGACCTGTGGCCAGTCACCTCCCTGTGTGTGAAGTGATGCGGTCGGGTTAGGTGAGCATTCTCTAACCTATCAGGTTAGACCTAACCTTTCATGAAGTAGTGGCCAAAGGATCAAAACGTGACCTGCATTGTAGTTTTGGGAAGGGGTAGGGAGAGGGTTGCCTTGCTTGTTGGCGTACTTCACTCTAGTGCAAGCAAGGATCGACAGCGAGCTTAATGCTTTCACAAAAGGGGTGGAGAGGATTTCCCACAATTACTCTGATCAGTTCCTCCCCCTTGCACCCAGATGCATCACAGAGGGAGCTGGTATCTCCCTCTCTAGCCTGGAGCCTCCAAGGGTTTGGGAGCCCTAAAGAAAGTACTTGTTGGGGACTGGCCTGATGGGAAGGGCGGAGGATGGATGGCTCCTGGGATCCTAGGTGGTGACGGCTGTGTTCTTTCTTCGTCCTCAGGTGCACGATGGCGGGCGCTGGTGAGCGCAAAGGCAAGAAGGATGACAATGGCATTGGCACGGCTATTGATTTTGTGCTCTCCAATGCCCGGCTGGTGCTGGGGGTGGGTGGGGCAGCCATGCTGGGCATCGCCACACTGGCGGTGAAGCGGGTAAGCGTGTGCCGCGGGTCTGGGGAGGGAGAGGTGGGAGGCTGCCTCTGCAGCAGGCCCCTGACCTGGAGCTAGACTCTGATACTGCTGGTGAGAATTCAGCTTGGTAATTTGGTGTCAGTAGATGAGACCGTAAGAGAATTCAGTAAGTCTGCTTCTAGGATTCGCCCTAAAGAAATCACTGGAGAGACAAATAAAGTTCATCCCAGTGAGATAAACGTTGCAAATAACCAAAATGTCCTTATTTAAAATAGCAACACCTCCACCACAATGCACTTCCTATTCCCTTTTCCTACTTTTTCTTTTTTTTAAAAAATTTTTATTAAGGTATGATTGATATATACTCTTATGAAGGTTTCACCTGAAAAAACAATGTGGTTACTACATTCACCCACACCACCAAGTGCCCACCCACACCCCAATGCAGTCACTGTCCATCAGTGCAGCAAGATGCCAGAGATCCACTATGTCCCTTCTCTGTGATACACTGTTCTCCCCATGATCCCCCACAGCCTACTTTTTCTTAATGGTTATCTGCCTTCATACTTTCAACTTGCTTATTATATATTGCTATATATACCTCTACTGGACAGAGAACTCAGTGAGGGCAGGGATTCAGTCTCTTTGGTTTACTGCCTTACTCTGTGCACCTAGAACAATGCCTGGCATGCCCTGGCCATTCAATAAATATTTATTAAATAAATGAATCAGTGTTCAATATTATGGTACATTCATAAGGTACAATGTGGTATAGTCAAAAATGTACCACAGTGTTAAACACTGCCTCATTTTTAGTGATGGGGGAAATGATAAATGAAAAAATCAGGTTTCAAGAGTGTATATAGAGTAGGGTCCTAATTTATGAATATGTATTTCCAGAAAGAAATATATCAAAATATTAACCGTTACCTCTGGGTTGTCACATAATTGATTGGTGTTTCTTACTTACATCATTTAGTATTTCCCAAGATTTTCTGTGTGGAGCAAAGTATTCCCTATCCAGAATACAACAAAGTTGTTGAAAAATAGTAGTTAATTCACTAGGACAAAGCTGCTGGGAAGGAGGGGACCAGGACAAAAGGTGGGTCCATGTGCAGGTCCTCTGTTATTTCAGATGTATGACAGGGCGATCAGTGCCCCTACCAGCCCCACCCGCCTGAGCCATTCAGGGAAAAGGAGTTGGGAAGAACCAGACTGGATGGGCTCCCCCCGATTGTTGAACAGGGACATGAAGACAGGCCTGAGCCGGTCCCTGCAGACTCTTCCCACAGACTCCTCCGCCTTTGACACAGGTGAGAAAGGCTGTTACCCATTCTGGGACTTACCTCTGGGTTCTTGGTACTTACTACTCGTGCATGCAGCAAACATTTCTTGAGCACATATATACCAGGCACCACGCCAGTACTGGGCCAAGCCCTCCTCCTTTCTGGAGCTGAGGCAGCTGTAGATCGAATGAGCATGGGCAGAGTTCACATGCCTCTTTCTCTTGCCTTGGCAGATACATTCTGCCCACCCCGGCCCAAGCCATTGGCCAGGAAGGGCCAGGTAGACTTGAAGAAGTCACGACTCCGCATGTCCCTGCAGGAGAAACTTCTTTCTTACTACCGGAACCGGGCAGCCATCCCTGCTGGTGAGCAGGCTCGGGCCAAGCAAGCTGCTGTGGACATATGTGCTGAGCTCCGGAGCTTCCTGCGGGCCAAGCTGCCTGACATGCCACTTCGGGACATGTACCTGAGTGGCAGCCTCTATGATGACCTGCAGGTAACAAGGTTCTCACGAAGGGTAGGGTTGGGTACTGACCAGGATGCTTCTTGGTAGTACTGTTGGACGAAAGATCCGGGTCCCAGCTTGCCAGAGAAACAGGTCTTGCTGCTGCTGAATTCTGCAGTGTGACAGCATTTGGAGATCCCTATCTTGAGTCGTCTTTAACCCTTTCTTGTTTTTAGTCATACTTACACTTCTAAGAAGCTGTCTTCCTTCCTCTACTCTTGCTCCTGTCTCTCCTTTCTAGTTTCTTCTCTTTTTGGGTCTTCAAGGCATGGGGGATGTCCTGTCTACTTCTGTGTCCAGAAATGAGGTACCACATGGAATGAGCATGGGCTCTGGTGTCTGACAGACCTGGGTTGAAAGCCTGTGTGAATTGATACAGTGACGTGAAAGAATTCTTAGTTTTCTTTATTGTTGGTGGAATACAAGATGGTGGGACCTATGTTTGGGGAGGCATATCTCATGAGCAGATTAAATCCCTCAAACCCATTTAATTCTGCTCCAACAGGTGGTGACAGCTGACCACATCCAACTCATTGTGCCCCTTGTGCTGGAGCAGAACCTGTGGTCTTGTATCCCTGGCGAGGACACTATCATGAATGTCCCTGGCTTCTTCCTGGTTCGTCGTGAGAATCCCGAGTATTTCCCTCGTGGCAGCAGTTACTGGGACCGCTGCGTGGTGGGGGGCTACCTCTCCCCAAAGACAGTGGCAGACACGTTTGAGAAGGTCGTGGCTGGCTCCATCAATTGGCCGGCCATAGGGTCTCTCTTGGACTATGTGATCCGACCAGCACCACCCCCAGAGGCCCTGACCCTGGAAGTACAGTATGAGCATGACAAGCATCTCATCATTGACTTTCTGCCATCAGTGACCCTTGGTGACACTGTCTTGGTGGCCAGACCACACCGGCTAGCTCAGTATGACAACCTGTGGCGGCTCAGCCTGCGTCCTGCTGAGACAGCTCGCCTGCGGGCTTTGGACCAGGCCGACTCGGGCTGTCGATCTCTGTGCCTCAAGATCCTCAAGGCTGTGTGCAAGTCCACTCCGGCTCTGGGCCCCCTCACTGCCAGCCAGCTCACCAACGTCATCCTCCACTTGGCCCAGGAGGAGGCTGACTGGTCTCCAGATATGCTGGCAGACCGATTCTTACAGGCCTTGAGGGGACTCATCAGCTACTTAGAGGCCGGAGTCCTGCCCAGTGCCCTAAGCCCCAAGGTGAACTTATTTGCAGAGCTCACACCTGAAGAGATAGATGAATTGGGGTATACTCTGTACTGCTCCTTGTCTGAGCCAGAGGTGCTGCTGCAGACTTAGGGCAGGTGAAGGCAGAGTGGTTGTCAGGCGGTCGGGGACTGGATTCTCCGTTAGAAACACTTGGCTGCAGAGTTGGTGCGTCACAGGGTCCGTGGGTGCCTCCTGACTCGCTGGTCATCGCCTTGTTTGCTTCATGCTGAATAGCATGACATCTGTTTCCTGTTTTCTCACCCAGCCCCTTCTATTTTTGTTATCAAACACTGTGGCCCCGACTTCTCCCCTCCCCCTTGCTCCAGGCTAATTTTTTTCTACTCAGTGTTCTGCGGGTTGGTCCCAGGGTTTCTGCTCCGTCTGTCCTGCCCATTTCTGCCTGCGCCTTTTTGTGTCTCCCTCTCTTCCTCGTCATTCCTTCTGTGCTTTTCCCTGGAACACTTACGCCTGATCAAGATGTTGCCTTTTAGTTGAATGTCACTGAAGAGTCACTGCATGTTTCCAAGATGAACTCTGCACAGTGCACAGTGAGTGCTCCGACAGTATTTACAGTATTTAGGGTTTCTGGGGATAAAGCTGGCAGAAGAGCCAGCCTTTGATCGAGGTTCCTGGAAAAGAAGCCCATTTCCCACCCCCGCTAACTTGTATTCCTTAGTGCTGGGAAGGTCTCTCAAGGGAGCCTGAACTGACCACACGGGTGTGAGGGATCAAGATAAACTGGATCCAAAATTATTTGGAGACTGTTTCTCAGTGGCCATAAGAAGAGTGTGGAGTAGGGGCAGCATGGATGGTGAAGAGGTCCTTGGGAGGAGGAGAGTGCCTCATGTCCGTGCCTCATCGTGGCTGCGCCTGCACCACTGTGTGCAGGAGTCAGATGAGACGGAGGGAAGGGGCCGCAAGGCTAGTGCCTCTGCAGCAGGGCACTGTTCCCTCCCGTCCCTGCCCCACCGCCAGTTAGGATAGGGCCTTCAAGGACACAGCCTTAGTGTGAGGTTGGAGGGAGGGTGACAGGCAGCTGAACATCAGCTGGATGACCCAGTCACCAGTGGGGGCTCAGTGACCATGTTTCTCTCTGCCAGGCCTAGGATGCTGCCTTAGGGCAGGAACAGCCCCAGTAGCCAGCCCTTTATTCCCCAGTGGAGCCAGACGAATGGAAAAGGAGTGTTTGCTGAACTCCTCAGCCACCTCCAGAGGCCAAAAGGCAAGCAACTCTGCGCAGACCTCTCCCCGTCCTGTCCCTTCCCTGCTCCTGGACAGCACAGGGATAACGTGCAGGAGAGGGAGGTGGGGACTTCCCATGTTCCTCCTCGTTTCTGGCTGCTAAAATTGCACTATTTATTGCAATGTAAAAAGTATCCTGAGGGTGAGGAGGAGTGTTTAATACACGGTGTCAGTGCATCTTCTTGTTCTGTGTTTTTTCCTGTTTATGGCAAGAAGTTGATAATTTCTGATCTGCCCAGGCAGTATTTTTTCCCTCTCCTATCGCGTCTTACTGCTTTATCTATTACTACCTCTCCATCAGAGGATTCTGGTGAAGCTCTCTGCAACTGTCTCATTCCTTCCCAATACAGTGACATGAAATGACTTCAAATAGCTCTGAAACCTCAGTTACCCTTTGAATTTAGGGTAGATTCCTGTCCCGTTTTTGTCATGGATTAGGAGATTGAGAACTACACAATGTAGTTAACTTTGGATATATTTGGAGAATCCTCCTGCCTCTTCTCTTGTACATATGCAAGAGTTCCTTAAAGTGGTTCAGTTGTTTCATTTGTTTGAAGGTATTGAGAGAGAATGAAAAATGTGAAGCCCAGAACCCTGAGAGACTCTCCACGCTGGTTGTCCATCAGAGTCAAAATGGACTTTAAAAAGATCGATATGCTTGAGTGCTACCCTGGTGCTACCCTGGGTGGTTGGTCTGGGGTGGAGCCCAGCATTGATGGTTCTGATGCTTGCAGCTCGTGTCCATTAGAAGGGAGGATGAGGGTAGGACTCTCATAAAGTGTTGCAAAAGCATGGGTTATTCTTGATTGAGGTGAAAAGATTTGGTTTTCCCAATGAGAGTATCATAAAGCCTACAATTTTCCCAGGCTGGTGTCTCTGACCATGTAAATATTGTCATTTATTTCCATGTATTTCCAAAAATTAATTCCATGTAAAATACTGGAAGGAGAGTTCAAAAGAGAAAAGATGTAAAAAACTAAGTCCCAAATTATCAAAGCCAAGTGTAGCTGCCATTTGAGTTGATCACTTCTCTTAAAGAACATCTTTCTAAGGTCATCTCTGTCTTTTAACTATGTTTTACAAAACCAAAAACCAGAACTTTGCCATTTCACAAACAAGGACCTCCTGGAAGTCCTCAGAACTAGCAGCAGTGGGAATTCTCAGCCCTGGTCCTGGTGGCTTTGCCGACAGACTGGGCAAGCCTCATAAAACATGGAAGACAGGCAAGCGCTTTGAGACTCTTGGATAGAAAAGGGCAACATTCTGTGCCCTGCCCCCCCAAACCCTTTAATCTTTGGGGAAAGATGTAGTGCCTCTCCCTGCCTTTTCTGCCTTCCTCCTCAGTATTTATTGCCCACCTTTAAGGCCTGAAGTAATAGCATCTGCTCCTAGTTCTCCATGTAGAAATTTCTTTGCATCATCTTGGTTAAACTCACATTGTTAGCCTTGTGCTTAAAAAATATACTCATCAGCTTGAAAACCTAGTCACTTGGAAAGTGTATTTTGTTTCTCTGTTGCCCCTTCCTAAAAAATTAGTTCAGGACAACAGTGTATTTTTTTACACTCTTTGTTGTGACTTTCCTTTCAAATAAATAATCGAAGTTCATTGCTAAAGTTGTGTTGGGGCCTGTAGTCTTTCCTCCTGGGTCTCAGCCCCTCTTGGTCCACCTGTTAGCTGATGTTGCTCCCTTGTACTCCACTCAAGGTGTAAGTGCAAATGGTTTTGATGAGGAATCAGCTTCAGGATCAAAATGCCCTGGAAAGGCCCCAAGGGGAATTTTGTAAGTAGGGATCCCTGCTTGTGTCCAGAGTCCTCTGCATGGTACACTTCCTTGAGATTGTGACCCTGTTTGAGAACTCCTGCTCTCGCAGGATTTGTTAGAATTCTGAACTTCCTGCTGAAGCTAAAGCTACAGGCCAAAGAGAATGATGAGAGACACTTAGGTCTAGAGCTGTGAGGCTGTAGCCCTTTTAGACACTGCTGATTCTAAGTGGCCAAATACCAGAGATGTGGGTTCTGGGGTTAAGTGCATACAACATGTTTACCTTTTCATTTTAATCACCCTGCCGTCTTTAAATTCTTGGTCCCTAAGGCCAAGTCCACAATGTGCCTTCCAGTCACTTGACTGCTCTTCAGTAGCAGTTGGTAGATTTGGAATCAGTCACCTGTCTTGGCTAAGTCCATATAGAAGCAGCTTAGCTCTGAGACCCAGAGAACAGCTATCCTTTGTCTCCTTGAGGGAGGAAATAAAGCTGGGGAACATGATGTCCTTATACAGCATGGGAAGAAAATAAAAGTCTCTTTCCCAACAGCTTTGACTTTTCTGTATGGCATGAAACATTTTCCTGGAGGAGTGGTACTGGTTCTGCATTTTCAGCCAGGAGCTTTTCAGTCTGGGTCTCCATAATAGAATGGATGGGATAAGCTACTGTTGGGGTCATTCTTCCAAGACCTCTGCATTGTCAAAACTGGGCTGGTGTTACTTTAATTCCCTAACCATCCCTATGGTCATCCATCAGGAGGCACTGACCCAAAAGGAGGACATGCCCTGTGGGGTCTTAGTTACATCTTTGGAAGACTAGTGGCTCAGCAATTCTTACTGCCTTTGCATGGGAAGACTCGATAACTTGTGTATTTTGATGCTTTGTTTGTAGTTGTTGGTTTCATCTTGGTAAATACTAGAGGAGTCCTCTGAGGACGCAGGATGATGTAGTGGAGAAGGGGAGGGAGAACTGGGTGGTCAGGGTTGGAAAACCTGAGTTCTAATAACAGTAATGGTAACAACCCTCTGTTGAGCGCTTACCAGGTACCAGGCACTTTGCTCAGTGCTTTACATATATATCTTACCTCATTCTAAGGGCAAGGGTACCATCATTAGCTTCATTTTACAGATAAGGAAACTGAGGCTCAGCAAGGATAAGTGACTTAGCACAATGTCTCAGCTAATCAATGGAAGAGCTAGGATTCTTTTGTGTTTGCCCTTAAAATTTGTCTTCTGAGCCCGCTATCCAATAGTGCCTCCACTGGGAGCTGCTACTTTTGGGCAAGACACTTCAACTCTTAAGCCTTCAGTTTACTATTGTAAACGAATTGTTGGGCTAGATTTAATCAAGTCAATGAAGGGTCTGCAGTTATCTAGGACAGTCCTCCCGTTTTTTGACATCACAGCACTGAAATACTCCTACAGCCCACTGAGATTGGAGGTAGCTCCAGGGCCTGACTATGGAGGGAATTGAGGATGGTGGAGAGCCTTCTTGGCACAGCTCCTCAGTTGAGAAAGCAAGTTGCTCTGACAAGACTGCTGCTGAGAAACACAAACCCCCTGCAAGTGGGTATGGGCTCTCAACTTCGGTCCTCACAGGGCTGTTAAGGACTTGATGGAAGCGGTTGTGCCTGTGAGTTACAGAATTGGGAGTTAATGGGAACTATCCTGAGAGAGATACCAGCCGAACAAAATCTCTCCTTAGGGATTATGCTTTATTTTAGCAAAATGAGTACGTAAAAATACAACAGGTTAAGATACAGGATTATGCATCTTCCCGACTTGACTTTACAGAGCTCAGTAAGGATGCAGAGCTAGCTTTTTGATGGCAGGTGTGCATGTATCGAGTGATCTCCTGAGTGAGGTCCTCAGTCCCCTTTCAGCTACTGAAGGGCTTGCATATGGTGAAAACGCACACGAAATTACATTCCCTTTTGCCCAGTTTTCATCTTCAGGCCTGAACCTGGTCGCTAGTCCGGAGCTTCGCTGTGGCCCACCGGGGGGACCGCAGGGGTGGCCTGACGCCTCTGCTTGAGACGCCCTGGTCTCCCTGGGGCAGGCTACCGGAGGGCCAGGCGGAAGAAGTCACTATAGAAAAACTTGACCCAACAGCGCGCAGACATTAGAACGTAACAGAGAAGCTCCCTGACCCCTCCGCTCCTTCCCGCGCGGCATCCTCGCCGCGAAGCCCGTCCACCTGGTAGTCTGAGCCAATAAAAAGCCTAGATATGTATGATTCACCATGCCTAGCCAATCAGCTTGACAGATGCTCTCCGCCCGCATCTCGCGCGATAACCAGGCGGCTTCGGACTTCACAAAAACCTTCCAAGAGATGAAAGACGTCTCTCCCCGCCTCCGATGCTAATACCGGAAGCGAAGCGTGTGTGAAGGATCCCTCCGCGCTCTCTGGCGGCAGAGGGAAGTGACCCTCTGATCTTGGAAGCCTTGTGAAGTAGTGCGACTTTTTACTTCCTTGAGGTCTCGGAAATAACTTATTTTCTTTTCACAGATGCACCTTGGGCATAACATTCGTGGGTTGGAAACAGTAGGGGGTGTCGGGTAGGTGGAAACGAGGGTGTGGGCGGTGTGGAGCACGTGATCTCGGCGGAAGGATGTGCTCTGTGATGTGTCTCGCGGCACAACGTCTATAAAGGGCTCCGACGCGCAACCGCCATTTCTTCTCCTCCCGCCTGTCAATGTAGATTCTCCCGGCCAGCGCGTTCGCTCCTCCGCTCCCGCAGCGTCGGCGGCCGCCATGGCGTACTAGAGGCAGCAGTGCCTGCGGCAGGTTGGCCTTCGCAGCGGCGGCAGCAGCACCAGGCTCTGCAGCGGCACCTCCAAGCAACTTAAGCCATGGCGTGAGTACCGGGGCGGGGCCCTCGGCGTGCCCCCGGCCGGGGCTTTCGGGTGGCTTGGGCGCGCCCGCGCCTGGGCGGCGTCGCGGAGGGAAGCGGCTTTACGAGCGCTCGGGACGCGTGGCCCTGTTTGAGGGTCCTTGAGACGCCTGCGCCTCTGAGTGGGGAGAAGCCTCGGCGGCCTCGGGCCCCGCGCTGGCCGGGTCCCGCCTGCCTCCTGCGAAACGTGGCAGAGCCAAGATGGCGGCCGGGCGGTGCCGCAAAGCGGCGTGAGTCACGGGGCGGGGCCGCGGCTGCTCTTGGATCCGGGAGCAGGGATGGCTGTACGCCGAGGGCGTCCATCTTGTGCAGCCGGGCCCGGGAGCAGGGAGGTGGGGCGCGATGGCTCTGGGGCGGCGTGTGTCCGACCTTGCACAGCCCAGGAGAGTGCAGGTTGGCCATCCATCCTCTTCGGTGCAAAGGTGAAATTGTCGGGTTGAGTGATCGCTAATGGGATCTGGTCTGCTTCCTGTTCAGGCTTTTCACGGCATCCAGCAGCAGCGTTGCTGTAACCGACAAAGACACTTTTGAATTGAGCACATTCCTCGATTCCAGTAAAGCCCCACAACATGGCCGAGATGAGCTTCCTGAGCAGCGAGGTGTTGGTGGGGGACTTGATGTCCCCCTTCGACCAGTCGGGTTTGGGGGCTGAAGAAAGCCTAGGCCTCTTAGACGACTACCTGGAGGTGGCCAAGCACTTCAAACCTTATGGGTTCTCTGGTGACAAGGCTAAGGCGGGCTCCTCCGAATGGCTGGCTGTGGATGGGTTGACCAATGTCTCAGATAACAGCAAGGGTGAGTGGGTGTCCTTTATCTGCCAGCAGGTCGGTGACGTGGGCCTGCTGCCTTGTGCGTCTGACTTGGTTCTTTTAAATCTTTTCCAGAGGATGCCTTCTCCGGGACAGATTGGATGGTGGAGAAAATGGATCTGAAGGAGTTTGATTTTGATTCGCTGTTGAATATGGATGATCTGGAAACCATGCCAGATGAGCTTTTGGCCACGTTGGATGATGACACGTGTGATCTCTTTGACCCCCTAGTCCAGGAGACTAATAAGGAGCCCCCCCAGACAGTGAACCCAATTGGCCATCTCCCAGAGAGTTTACCAGAATCAGATCAGATTGCCCCCTTAACTTTCCTGCAACCTCTTCCCCTATCCCCGGGTACCCTGCCCTCCACTCCAGACCATTCCTTTAGTTTAGACCTAGGCAGTGAAGTGGATATCTCTGAGGGAGATAGGAAGCCAGACTCGACCGATTATATTGCCACAATCCCTCAGTGCATAAAGGAGGAGGATGCCCCCTCAGATAATGACAGTGGTATCTGTATGAGCCCAGAGCCCTATTTGAGCTCGCCCCAGCATAGCCCCTCTACCTCCAGGGGCTCCCCAAGTAAGGGCCTATTGTCTCCAGGTGTCTTGTCTGGCACCCCCCGCCCCAAACCCTATGACCTTCCTGGGGAGAGGGTGGCGGCATCAAAAGTAAAAGGTGAAAAACTGGATAAGAAGCTGAAAAAGATGGAGCAGAACAAGACAGCAGCCACTAGGTACCGCCAAAAGAAGAGGGCAGAGCAGGAGGCGCTCACTGGGGAGTGTAAAGAACTAGAAAAGAAGAATGAGGCTCTGAAAGAGAGGGCAGATTCCTTGGCCAAGGAGATCCAGTATCTGAAAGATTTGATAGAGGAGGTCCGCAAAGCAAGGGGGAAGAAGAAAGTCCCCTAGTTAGGGTAGTCAGGAGTGTGCTTGTACATAAGAGGCTTGTGCTATCTCTTGTAATAAATTATTTTGTAGTGAAAGTTAACGTGCAGACACGTTTGTCGAGTTGGAATCAGTCAACTCCGTTTGAAGCAATAGATCCATGAGTGAGAGTTTGGGCACTTCAAATTTGAGCCCAAGAGTGTTGTTACCTTGGGCTGTAGATGAGGGTTAATGGGCCGAAGAAGTACGTTAGAATCCCTGAAACAGGCGGTGGTACCTGAAGTGAGAGCTGCTGTTAACCCCTGGATGGATTGAGGCTGGGGGCTTAACTTAGGGGGCACTGACAGGTTGGCCAGGACAGCATGTGTCCTAATGCTGTGTGCGTTGTGTTGTGCCAGCATCTGCCATTAGTCTCCAGGTACAGCCCCAGTCCTTGTGAGCTGGCCACATGAAGTGACTTGGCTTGCCGGGAAAGTTCTCAACAGTTACAGATCTCTTACTGGAAGAACCTGTCCAGAGAAGAGCTGTTTTGCTTGAACAAACGGCTTGTAGCTTGAATTCCTGACGAGCTGCACTGGAACCCTCATTGATAAGTTCCCTCAGCTGCCGCGGCTGGCTGGAAGCCACTTGGCCTTAAATGACTGGCTGGCTCATTTTTGCAGGTGTCGTGGGCTCAGGCAGACACTTCCGTATTAGGTTGTGAATACAAAAAACACCCCAACCTGGCAGATGTGCTGGAGAGCCTCTTGCATCCTTGGGGGATCAGCTTGGTTTCAAAACCAGTTTTCCATGTGAAAGGCGCATGTAGATGTAGGGAGTAACGCCGTGGTAAGGGTGGCTGATGGGGGCACTAGACCGTCGTGAGCACTTCTGCATTCCATCACCAAAGTCCCCATAATGAGACCATTTCACGGCCTGTGGAGTGGTACGCAGAGGTGGAGGATCTCAGGTAAAGGCACTATTTGAGGTTAGGGGTGTACTGCCAGAGTGGGAGCTCTTGTCTATTTTGCCCCTCAGAAACAGGTGGCCTACGAGGACTTGAAAGTGGGGACCTCAAATTTCTTGACCTTCCCAATGTCTGCATAGTGATGAGACCCAGCCCACTGCTGGAATACAACTAGTGGTGTCCCAGATGGGAACCTTGGCACCAGGGGGAGGTGTTTCACACACGGACCTGAACCTGATGGTCTTGCATGAGTTTGTAGGATCCCCTGTAAGGCCGTGATCCTCAGCAACTTACATCAGGGAGGTTACAACCAGCTATTAAAATTGTCAAGCTCACCCTGACCACCCGGTCTAAGCTTAACTGCTACCCCCCTAAATAAATGGGGACTTACTGGATTAAAGAAATAGCAACTCATCTACAAACACTGGTATGAAAAGCTCTTTATTAAATGCTTGTAAGGATCATCTCACCATCCCCATTTTACAGATGAAACAAGCCTGAGGTTGAGTAACTTGCCCACTGACGTAGAGTTGCCCACACCCACAAGGCAAGGAGGGGACAACATAAAGCAAAAATTCCAGCAGAGGCCATAGGCTCAGATCATAGACCGCACTTGGCCTTTGCTGGCCTGCCCTCCACTCTCATCCTTCACTTGTGCTCCAGCCCAACGTCCCTGCACCTCTGTGCCTTTGTACTTGCTGTTCCCTCTGCCTGAAAGATGGAGAGCACTGTGGCATGGTTGTGAGCTCACAATCCTCGGGAACTAGGTTATGGTTCTTCCTGATGCAAGCCTGGGTTTGGATGCTGGTCCAGGGGCAGCTGGTCCAGGCCATGACAGCGGCATAAGACAGGCCATACTCAGGTACTTGTAGGTACTTGGGAGCCCAGCAGAGGGGAACTAGGGGCTGGGCTGGGATGAGTGAAGTCCAGTACCACACTCCACCTTGCACGAAGCAGCTTGAGGCCCCTGCTAGGCCTTGGCCAGCCTGAGTCCTGGCTGTTCAGGGCAGGGCGGAGCTGTGCTCTAAGCCTGATGGAGTGGGGGTGAGGGCGAGGCGCTGCTTCTAGTTCAGCCCCACGCCAGCCGCTGCCTGGGGCCGCTGTTCTCGGCTTTCGCGCCAGTTTTGTCGTCAGGACAAGCCGGCGGGTCCTGGAGATCAGGAAATGGCCTTCACGTTTCTTTACAATTATTCATGAGCATCCACTGCCCTCATTCTGGCAAGGAAGACAAAACAGCAGTAAAATAAGAAAGACACATGTTGTGAAGATGGCAGGGAGCGCGCACGCGGAGTGCTGGGGTGGCAGGATTTGCTCCTTAAGATGGGTATTTAGGAACGTCTCCACGAGTCCAAGCCGGCAGGAAGCAAAGAGGCTTGGGCCCAGCAGCCGGGGCAGGGGAGGGGCGCGAAGCTAGGGGGCGGGCCAAACAGCGCCCAGGCCTTGCGCCTGATTGGACTTGAGTCTCCTCTGCATAACCTGGGGAGACCCCGGAACGGGAGAGACAAACTGGGTTCTATCTGAAGAGGGCCCCTCCGGTGAGGGATAGGTAAGCAAGGGCCTCCGCTGTCGTCCAGGCAGTCTGGAGGAACCGGCTAGGGTGGGTGGCTGGGTGGGGGTGCGGAGAGCTGGTAAGGGCTCAAGCAAATCAAGCTTGGATGGGGGTGTAAGGGAGGAGACTAAGATGACGCCAGAACAAGGGGAGGAAAGTTTCCATTTCTTGAGTTGGGGAAAACCAGAGGGGAGCAGGGTTTTAATTTCAGCTTTTCGTTACGGGTAGAGGGTGGGCTTGGTCTCAGGTAGTTTGAAAAGCTGCTTGGGCGTGCAGGTGGGGAGGGACAGCAAGGAGGCAGCGGAGTTTGGAGACCAGGAGGAGGTCTTGCTGTGGCATCTGAGGGCTGGGGAGGGGAGCTCACAGCCCCGTGGGGAGACAGCAGATGGTCGCTCGGACCAAGTAGACAGTGACAGCTCCACAGCCAGGACTGTCCAAGGCTGGGCCACCTCAGTGGAGGGAGCAGGGACTTCTGGGTGGGAGGGTATGGCAGGCTGCCTGGAGGAGAGCACCTGAACTGGGCTTCAAAGGCTGGGGAAAGTTGACGTAGAGAGGATGGGGAGAGCACCCCAAGAAAGCCAGCCTGGACAAAGACTCAGAGGAAGGAATGAATGGGCACACCCTGTACATGCCTGTCCCACAACACCTCTTCCAGAAGGCTTCCCCAGTCCCCAGCTCTGCCAGTTACTCACCTCATGGGGACCCGCCTCTCATTCTCACAAGCTCTGGGTGGGCCTGCAGCTGGAGCCCCAGTGAGGTCATACCTGGCACGGCAGTCCCGTCCACTCCTGTCCAGCCCCTTGGCCAACCCTTCCAGTCAGAGGACCAGGGAGTGTGGGTGGCCCAAGCATCCTGCCCCACTGTGGAAGCACAGGAAGACATGGCTGGAGCCCTCCTGGTTGGTCACCATCCTTCCCTACTTTGTGCAGCTTTGTCCAAGTTCTCAGTGGCCCCAAGCCACCTGGGAAACGAATGCTTCCAGGTGTTTTATATGGACTAACACATCTCAGCTGGGGAAGGCCGCCGCCTCCTCAGTCTTTTTAGCTCTGGCATGAATGTGGCAACTCAGTGCCCCTTTTGGGCCCTATCCTTTTCCAGATCTGTCACCCAATCCTGGGGCTCATGGTCAGCATCCCCACCCCCCATAGCACACTCTCTCCTCCAGCACCTGCACCATAACTGTCCAGGGGGGCTGTTAAAAGAGATCGCCGAGTGCTACCCCGACCTACTGGGCCAGAATCTCAGGGGTGAACACTAACGTCAGGCGTGTGTAGGGGGCATGAATATGCACCTCTAGTGCTACTTGGTACAAATGTAACATAAGGCTTCCTGGGACACTCACAAGCAGAGAAGGGGCAGGACCCTGCCTTCATCCTCCCCCAGGAGTTGGGTGGTCACTCTACACCTGGGAAGGGCGAAGGAACCTGTAGGTTTGATAATGGAACAATCAGTGTGTCCTTGTGAGAACGGGGCCCTGGAGCTCAGTGGCTAGTAACCCTGTTTTTCTGAGAAGACTCCTGGAGAGAAGAGAACAAGTGCCTGGTCACCTTCTTGCTGAGCTGCTTAAAAGCTGAAGGAGCAAGTCTCCAGAGGTATGTGTGCTCCCCTGGGGCCACTAAGCTCAGCAGGTGAAGGGCGCAGCATTGGAGGAAGACTCCCAGCCTTTCCTGTCTCTTGTTCGGCCTCTCATTTGCTTTTGGAACAAGTCCGTCTCAAGAAGGGAGGTCACCATGGTTTGGAGTCACAGCACCCTCCTCTCCTGTCCACCTGGACCTGGATGCACGGCCTGCTTCCTGCTGCTCAGATGGACGCCACCTGCACTGTCCCGTAACTGGTTAATGACCAGGATCAGACCCCCTGGGGCAGGGGTCTGTGTGTGCCTGTGTCACCCTCTCCCCTTGCACATAAAGGACCTGCTGGCTGACCGTCACTCCCAAGCCGCCCCAGCCGCAGGGAACCCTGCAGAAGTCCTCTAGGACAAGGCCAGGACCTCAGGAAGCCTTTCAGGCAAGGAAAGGGGAGAGAGGGGAGATGGATGGAGCTACTTCAAGGCCAGTGTGGTCGGCATCACCTGCTCACTCACAGATTCCTTGGAGTGCCTGTCCCCAGCATGTGCCTACCGGAAAGGGTGCCGCCTGAGTGTGAACTTGTTTCCTGAGGTCACCCCCAAGTCCCCCACATGTGACAGGTAAGAGGGAATAAAAAGGCAGCCCCCCCCACTGCCCACTGGCACACAAGCCCTGGGCTCAGGCTGTGACGCTGCGCTCACTCCCCAGACCCGGTGCGGGCCTCCTGGATCAAAGCCTCTGGTAGCTGCCGGCACTACTTCTGCCTCAGCGGCTACTTTCTCAGCTGTGGCTGTCACCTCCAGGGAGGAGGGCCCCTCTGGGGTGTGTGAGCAGACACTGGGTGAACTGCTTTCTGGGCAGCCACCTGCACTTGAGCTGGACTAGAACTGACCTGGAGCTGTAAGCATCTCACTGGAGATGCGAGGGAGGGAAGGCCCCATGGTGCCAGAGGAGATGAGAGATACCCGTAAATTAGACCGCAGCACACACACAGCTCTTGGGTCCACGTTTATTAAAGCCTGAAAGCCAACTCCTTGAGGTGTGGCCCCCAAGGGCCCAGTCACTGGCCTCTCCACAGCAAACAGCCCAGAGGCCCTACCTGGGCCAAAGCAAACACAACAGTCAGAAATGCAGCTCCTCCAAAGCCTGCAGATGTCAGCTCTGGTCTGAGTGTAAATCCTCCCAGGGCTTCCAGCTCACCATCTCCATTCCAGCCACCCGCTGGCTCCTGCTCCAGGGCTTCCCTGAGCCAGGCCAGCAGCACAGCGTGTGGCAGGGTCCTGAGGCCAGGAGAGGCTCTGAGGTCAGAGGAGGAGGCTGGGCCTGCGTGCCTTTCCCACTGTGCCCTCCTGGGAGCCTAGCTGCCGAAGTACTCCTGCTGGAACTTCTGGAAGTCTTCCTCAGTGAACACTGTACCCTCAGCCTTCTTCTTCTTAGTCTTGGTCACAGGCCGGTCACAAGCCTTGCGACCCTGGTTCTGACGTACAATCTGGGGATGTGTGTGAGTCAGATCCCTGGATGGTGACTCCTGGCATGAGAGACTGCCCTCTGGAGCCACAGAACCTGGCACAGCCTGCCAAGTGCAACCCTCTCACCTGGCCTCAGCTGTCCCAGGAACCAGGGCACATCATTTCCATTTACAGAGGAGCAAACCAAAGCCCACAGAGGCAAAAGGCCAGACCCAGCCTCCCAGCACCGCAATATAGTCCAGCTCTTAGGAGGCCGGGGTGGCCCAACCTCTGCCCTGCGCTCAGGGCTGAGACTCCCATGGGTTCCAGGAACAGGTTTGGCTCTCATCCCCCAGCCCAACCCTCTGACAAACCTGCTGGGTGACCGACTCAGCCACCTTTCTTCTTGTGCTCGTCATAAACTTCAGGTTTTCTCCAAGGTAGCTTCGACACTCTCGCTTCTGGAACTCAGCTGTGGATGGTGGGAAGGGTGGCATCTTTTCAGATGTACTCTCTGGAAGCCCTCTGGGTCCCTCCTGATGTCTTCCCACTCCACCTCCACCCCCGGGGCCCCGTCATCCCCTCCCTAGATTACTGCAACAGCCTGAGCTCTTTTCTATCAAATCTTCTCTCCACACAGGTCCTACTGAAAGCCCCCCATCGGATCCCAGTTGCTCAGGTGATTTATTCAACAAGTATGTCCCGAGCGCTTACTGTGTATCTGACAGTGTTCTACGTGCAGATAACAGAGTAGAAAATGGAACAGACAAAAACTCATGCTCTCATGGAGCTTATATTCCAGTGGGAAGACAGATTTAGGTAAACAAGGCAAATGCTATTTCAGAGGGTGATACATTTTATGGAGAAAAACAATAGTGAATAGAAATGAGAAATGCCAGGATGGAGGGTTGCAATTCTCAATAGGAGGGTATGAGAAAGCCTCACGGAAATAATATTTTGAGCGAACACTTGGAGAGAGTGTAGCTATCTGGGAGAGGAAAGTTTTAGGTAAGGCAAGGTTCACTCAGCGCAAGGGCCCTGAAGAAATGTGATTAATGTGTCTGAAGAACAGAAAGCAGTGGAATGGGATGGTGAGAGCAGCAGAGATTAGGTTGGAGATGGGGCAGACCACGTGAGACCTCTTCAGGCACCCTAAGGCCTCTGGCTTTCACTGAGTACAATGGAAGCCACTGGAGGGTGCAGAGCAGAGGAGAGACTGGTCCGATCTCTGACCTCACAGAATGATTTTGCCTGCTGTGGCGAGAATAACATGAGTGGTGGGAAGAGAGTGGAAGGGAAGAGGCCAGTTACGAGGCTTCTGCAGTAATCCAGGCAAGAGATGATGTAGCTCCAACCAAGGTGGTGGCCAGAGGGGTTCTTTACTTGGGTTACTGAGGCCCCAGAATCCCCTCACTCATCAATTCTGTACAGTCACATGGTGGACGGGGTGACCCCTGGCCTGGCATGCTATGCTCCTGCTTCACACCAGCATCACTGTTGCTCAAAAGTTGTCTCGCTGTCCTGCCTCCCCACTTTGCTCCTGCTGTTTCCTCCTTAGAATTCACAGTTCTTTTAACAAGTAAGTACTTGAACACATCTCTACACAAGGCCCTGGGGATTCAAAACATACCAGGAGCTCATCAAGTTCTGTGCATGGCTAAATACCACACACCATCCAGCCACACCTGACCCTTCCCAAGTCTGTACATCTCATGAAGTGGCACAACTTCCAAGATGCTCTATTAGAAACGGGGCTCTGTACTGGGTGTCTCCCTCTTCCTCCATCCTTACAGCCAATTCATCACCAAAGCCCATCAACACTCCTTCCTCACCACACCCTCCACCAGCACAATTCTTTCGGTATCTGCACATCGCCACAGCCCAGGACACAGCATCTCCCACTTGAACTGAGTGGGTAAGAGCAGGGCTCTGGAAATGCACTGCCTGGTTTCTATCTGTACCAGGGGTCTGTTTCTGCAGCTGTGCAATGGGGGTAACAATAGTACCGACCTTGCAAGGCTGCTGTTATGAATTAAATATGAGAACATTTGTGCAGGGCTCAGAACAGCACAGGGCATACAGAACGTTAACTGTTAAATGCTCCACCTCTGACTCCTGTTCATTACATGTCACCTTTACCAGGCTTCTTACAAATTCTCAACAAACTTCGTTCTGACTCTGCATGAGTTATCCTCTCAGAACACCCTTCCTCAGGCTCACTCTTACACTTCCTTCAGGTCTGGGCCGAAATGTCACACATCCTCAGAGGAGTCTGATTTGGTCTTTTATTCTAAATCACCCTCAGAGCACCACAGTCTTAGTTAATAGGCCTCATCACACTTAGCAATTACCCTGATTTTGAAACTGATGCTTCTCTCCCCACTAGGGCTGTAGACCAGCCGGGACAATGTATTTCGTTCGCCTGCGCATTCCTAGGACCCGGCTCCGCACCTGGCGCTCAGTGTTTCAGAAATGCCTGGCGAACGTTTCAAGCCTTGCCTCAAGCGCCCCCTTCGACCCGAAGGGCGACTCGACCATCTCCTTCCCGAGCTCACCAAGCGCCGACTTGGGCACCTTTCCCTTGGCCGAGTTCCGCAATTTCTGGGCCTGGGTCGCCTTCGCCTTCCTGTTCCGCTTCACCGGAGCCCCGCTCGGCTTGGCCTGGCCTGGCGCGGCGCGAGGGGCTGCAGAGAGAGAGAGGGGAATGAACCCGGGTCGGAGGGCGCAGGGTTCCCATTCCACCGGGACCAAGCCCGGACTGGATCGTCCCGCACCCTTAGGGCTCCTGCCCACTGCCCCTGCCGCACTCCAGCCTGCGCTTGGACGTCCGGGGAAGGTCCCCTCACCCTCGGTAGCCCCCAGCAGCTCGAGACCTCGCCGCAGTAGGGCGGCAGACATGGCTGCGCTTAGCTCGGCCCACGGGCCTCACGCTAGGTCCGCCTATACTGCCCTCTTCTCGGCGGAAACCGGAGCGGGAACAGAAGGTTCCGGAGGGGGGCGGGCGAAAGTACGTTCCTTAGGACGCATGCGTTTGGGTTACCACTTCACCACAAAGAGGAAATAGGGGCGGGAACTTGGGCGGGGCCAACTCGCAGAAGGACGCATCTGTTGTCCAATCCCGGCCCAACCGGTCCTTTGAGCGATAGGCCACGCCTTCTCCCGATAGCCGTTCACATCCAGCCCAGCCTGGTTGGTCAAGCTTCCCGGGGCTGGGCGGGGTGTCATTACTCTTTAATTTTTACGAAAAAGAAAAATACAGAGCGGGATTTTTTTTTCATATACTTCAATCAAAGCAGCATATCGCACAGTTCGCGTGCGGCATGAGAATCTAGCTGTTAAAGGTATTTGCAAAAATGCAAAATAATAAGTGTTTTCCCACTATTTTGCTTCGTTAAATGTAACTGTTTTCATAAAAATAGGTTATTTATGTTAACATGCAATGAGTTGGCTACTGTAACTTTAAATGAGTTAATAGATATTTTTAAAAATTCTGTTTTAGTTTCTAATATGGTAAACATTAGTTGATATTTACACGTACAAAAAGGTTTTTGGGATCCTGAATTTTTTTTTGAGTGTGAAGAGGAGTGGGGAGGAGCTTTGTCTTGTTCATTTTTCCATCTGCAGCTCCTAGCCCAGCTCTGGCATGTAAAAGGTGCTCAATAAATGGGTGGTGAATGAGGAGAAACTACTCACTTCACGGAGCCAATATGTTCTTTGTATACCCAACACTATGGAATGTGGGACACAGAGATGATTCCCCTGGACCTTCCTGGATGAACCTCGCTATCTATTCCAGGAGGGAGAGGCCAAGGAACCTGTGCAGGTGGTATCAGAGGTAGGAATCAAGACAGCCTGGCCTGAGCCTGCGTTTGTGGGCTGCACTCCAGCTCCAGCTGCCAAGCAGTGCTGTGGCGTGGGCTGGGGCTGGTCAAGCCGTAAGGGTCAGAAGGCTTCCCAAAGGAAGAGGAGTTGACCCAGTGGGAGGAGAGAGTCCCAGGCCAGAGGAGCCTGCGGTGAGGACACATCCCCTGGGACAGGAGTGGCCCCAGGAAGGCCCGGGCAGGTGGTCTAATTGGCAGCAGACTCCATGAATTTGCCCTGAAGGCTGTGGGGGACCCTGGAGCCTAGCGTTGTATTCAGCCATGCTCTTTTTTTTCCTGCTTCTAAACCTGACACTTTTTTTTTTTTACTTTTTTACGTTATTTAATGTGTACCTCCTCACCCACGCCCCACCATAAGCTCCACAAGGGCAGGTATCTTTGTTTTGTTCCTTGTTATATCTCTAGTGCCTGGAACAGTGGCATCTAGTAAGCGCTCCATAAATGCTCGAACTAGATGGGTGAAAGTGGAGTTTGGGATACCCCGCGGGAGGTCGGGTGGAGACGTCCAGGTGATTGATTGTTGGATGTGTGAAACTGCCCCTCAGGAGGGCAAAGGACCAAGCTCTACCGTACCTCCTTCCTCTTCGCGGTCTGAGGCGGTCAGCACCGGGTCCCCAGGGTGGAGAAAGTCTGTATTCCAAAGTCCCAGGAAGCAGGGTCTCCTGGGGCTGGTGGATTCCTGCAGCGTCCCCAGCTCAGCCCAGCTGTCCTCTGGACAGCAGACGGTGGAGTCCAGCTTCGGTCACTAGATGGCGCTGCAGGACAGCTTTCTCTCACTGGGCGACTCGGCTCTCCGGTCGGCCGCCTCTGGGTGGGAGCGTGGGGTCCGAACAAACGCCTCCTCCCCTAACTGGTTCTTTGCAGACGGCACCACAAGGTGTTCTGCTCTCCCTGCCCTGAGGTCTTATAAAACGGAGCTAGTGACACCCCTCCTGGGCCTGGCCCAGAGGAGTGGGTGGGGAAACTGAGGCAGAGCCACAGGGGAGGGTAGGAGAGGGGATGAGGCCTCCTTGGGAGAGGTCTGCAAGGGGCAGCATTCGGGTGCTCAGCTATTGGGAAGGCTGCAGGGGACTGTGTGACCCTAGGCAATCCCTTAACAGAGAGCGCCTCAGTTTCCTCATCTGTTAAATGGGGCTTAGTTCCCTAAGAAGGTGTGTGTGAAGAGCCAGTGAATCAATACTGGTATAGTACCCAGAGCAGGGTCTGGGTGGGTCAGTGCCCAGGGGTGCACAGCAGATATTACAGACACATCCATTCCCACCCTGAGCAAATGGGAGTGAGTGCCAGACCTACCCTGGACCCCTGAGGGGACAGGCTTAGGGAGGGTAGCTCCCTCCTCCTCTGCCCCTTTCCGTGGGTGGGTCGTGAGTCTCCCAGGTGGTCCCTGTCCTGGCTGCGTGGCTCTGGGTGAGCTGCTTCACTGCTCTGACCCTGATTTCTCTGGCTGTGCCTGGGTACCCCTCAGTATCTGCTTAGCTGGGGCACACAGAAGAAACAGCACCATGAAATTGCCCCCTCCCTAGCCTCTGTGCCCACTTACCTCATCCCTGTCTCCTTTCTGGCTTTCCTGGAACCAGTTTAACCTCACCAGACCTCAGGGGGTCCAGAGGCTCAGAGGGAGGCAGGTTCTTCTGCAAGGTCACACAGTATTTCAAGAGCAGAGTCAGGACCAGAAGCCAGGTCTGTGAGTCCTGAGTAAGAGTGTGCATGAGTATGTGGGAGTGTGGCCTTTAGAATTGTGTGCTGGGGGCAACTGGGATCTTGTGATTTGCTCTTTCTTGTTTCGCCATCATTCTTCCGCCTCTGTGTGTCTCTTCATCCTTACCTTACCTCAGGGTCTTGTCTTTCTCTCCATGTCTGTGTCCTTCCCTCTCTGTCTCTAAGCTCTCTCTTGGCTCTTCCTCAGTCGCTCTCCCGTCCCCCAAGCTCTTGGCTTCCCTCCACCTTCAAACTGAAAACCTAAATGGAATTTCCAATTGCCTTTTCCGACAGGTGATTTCGTGGCTCCTTGTGTCCCAGCCCTCTCCCTTTTCTCCACCGCCTTGTGGTGCATTACTGCTGAGTCCTCTCTCTGCCTCTCACCTCCGACTCCTGCCAGTGGCTTTGAAGTGTGTTTACAAGAGCACTCAAAAGAAAATCCATTTCTGCCCTGTCTGGTTCCAGATTGATGGGGAGGGTGGGGCGCTCCTCTGCCTGTCTCCCCCTGAGCATACTGTCACTAGGCAATAGCTCCGCAGTTTCCTGGGTCAGGGAGGGGATGATAGGGCCAGGACTGGGAGGATCCTTGGGGTCTGGAGCTGACACAGCTGCTCTGATTCCACAGACTGGGCTCACACAGCTGGGTGCCATGAGCAAGCCACCTTCCTTCTCTGGGCCTGTTTCCTCCTCTTTGAATTGGGCTTGGAGAAGTGTTGTCGAGCCCTCGTCCCAGGGCTGGGGCAAAGGTCAGGGTGAGGATGGGGGTGCACTCAGAGCTTTCTGCTCCTGGGTCCTGAGACCTGGAAGGAGCATGGGTTCTGGAGCCAGGCTATGCATTCAAATTCTGGCTTTTTAATTCACTAGCTGTGTGACCTTGGATAAGTAACATAACCCCTTTGTGCCTTGGCTTCCTTTCTGTGAGCTGATTATAATCACAACCCTTACCTCCTAGAATTGAAGGACTATGGGGACTGAATGAGAAGCATTTGGAATAGCACACTGGGCACCGAGTAAGCACTATATATTTGTAAATGAATGATTGCTATGTGGGTCAACAGTTTGCATGCATAAATATGTACCCATTGAACCTCTGCTCTTGTGATCAGCACACAAGTGGTTTGGGGCCACAGAGAATTATGCCAAGAGCCTGGAGTCAGCAGGTCTGTGTTCAAATGCAGCTTTTGCTACTTACCAACTGTATTTCCTAGGGAGGTTACATCATCTCCCTGAGGTTCATCGCAGGCTGGGGGCTCCTCCCTCACAGGTCTGTTGGAGAGTACAATGAGAAGTTGCATGGAATGTGCTCAGCACTGGGCCTGGCGCTTAATCATGTATTCCCTCAACAAACACCTCCTGAGCACAAACTATGAACAAGGTCATGTGCAGGGAGGTGGGGATTTGGGGTGATGAGAGGCTCTGTCCTAGCCTGGGGTTCCTCACACACTCATGTTACACCCTACACAAGTGTGAGCCTCTGCTGCCCCTCCAGAGCCTGTGTTTGTGACCCCAGAGTTTGTGGTACCCATAGACAGGCCCCAGGAGAACAGCCCCACTGGGGGGCATCTGGTAGAGGCAGAGAGGCTTCTTTTCAACGATTTGAAAGATAAAATTGTTGGCATGACTGATTTTAAGAACTTAAAAGACAAAGGAAGAAGTGGCTGGAAAATCTCCATGGAGATATGGAGTTGGACAGCAACTCTGGGGAGGAGGTTGAAGATGAGGTCTTTTGAATGGCTTGACCCTCACCAGCCAAAGACACAGCTCTGTCAGGAAGTTGCTGTGTGCCCCTGGCACATCCCTTACTTCCTGGGCCTCAGTCCCCCCTGGGGTAAGATGAGGGGGGTTTCTCAGCCCTGCCAGGCCCCCAGGACCACTGAGATGTTGAAAGGTTACAAGGAGAGGAAGGGGTGAGCCTGGAAGACTCAGGGGACTTGGGGTCCCTCAGCATGCCAACACCCATCTCCCCAGCTAACCGGTATCCTGAGAACTCGCCAGCAGGTAAGGGCCAAGTGGGGAGGTCCTTAGGCAGAGTGGATGGAGCCCAGACTCTGGGGACCTGGCCTCACTGTAAGCCTTACATATGTCCCTTCTTTGTTCAGGGTTAGGGTCCCCACCCGGGCAGTGCGGATAGACACTAGGAGTTTGGTGCTGGAGTGTCAGGGTGGGGCTCTGGGAGAGGGAGGGGTGGAGAGGTTCTGGCTCCCAAAGGGAGGGGGATGTTTCTGTCCCTTCCAGCCTCAGCTTTTTAATTCTAATTACATCCATTAAAATGCAAATTTACAACAAATGCTGGGAATGGAGGCCCTGTTGTCATGGCAACTGGAGTCTGGGGGTAGGGAAGGGGGGAGCCCATCTCCATCTCCTGATCCTTCCTGACTAAGCTGGGGCCCGCCTGGAAGCCCCCACCCCCGACCTCAGGATTAGGAGCATCTCACCCACAGCTTGGGGGGTGTCCTGCCCTGAGACTAGGTCTTCAGGGAAAGGGAGCTGGGTAACTTTGCATAAGTCATTTACCCTTTTGGCCTCAGTTTCCTCATCTGTGAATTGGGAATGACGTTACAGGACTCTCTTGCAGGGTCACCCTGGGGATTCAGTGAACTCTTGTACAGCCGTCAGAGAAGGGGTCTGTCCTCTGGCTGCAGTGCCAGGGGACTGGGTGAAGCATGGCCCGGACCTTTCCCTGTGTGGGCTCAAGCTGTCCCCTGCCCTGGAGTTCTAGCCTTTGACCCATCTGTGGACATGGAGCCAAAAGATGGTGTGGGAATGACCTTCAAGCCCCATGTGGACT